CTCCTTCATATAAAAAGCTGAAAAGTAACAAGCCAAGCAATACAAGAAACAAAATAATACAAACCCAACCATTATTCCACTCTGACCTCCTCACAGCACCAACACACTCCACTCACGCCTCAGCTGTCACAAATGAAATCAGATATGTGTTTGGCTACCAGTGAGTGACAGAATTTTCCAGAAAGTTCACTTATAGACAAATGTAATTCTAGTTGCCCCTTTACTTCCCTGATAAATGCCAGCCTGAACACAAGTTTATTAAATTATTAAACAGGGCTAGATCACACGAATATTTTGCCTAGACAAGAAAAATATTTTCATTTCTGTTGTAAGAGTAAGGACTCTTTTTCAAATGTACCTGTCTAAGATGTATTAGTATCTGTTTAAATCCCATTTGGTGTTGGAATATAGAGCTATTGTGTAAAAGTAGCCTACCGTTTCCTTTTCTATTCTTTTATTTCAATAGGCCTCTGCAGTCCATGATGACACAGAAAAGAGAAACCTGGCAGCATGAGCTGTAGTTCTAACCCACGTTTTTGATTATCAGTGACAGGACACTAAAATTATAGCTAAATGTATTTCTCTGTTACTGAAAATAACTGCACCGCACCTTAATGAGGGGTGGGGGACATTGTCTGGACTTGCCAGAGGAAGGTAGCAGTGCTTTCTGGGGGGCTGGGTCGGGAGGAGTTAGAAGCTGATGCAGAAAGGTGGGGCAGGGAGGGGGTCAGTGTGGTGATGCTAACTCATCCCCTGGGAATGTAAGTACACAAGGCTTTAAAAGGGGCAAGCCTGGACATTAGCAGCCCCTTCCTCCACACAGCAGACAAAACAACACCCATCCTCCCTCTCTCACCTTGAGTTAGAAAATGCAAGGTTTAGTTAGGACCTGCTGTGGGAATTGCGCTAGTCACCCCTTTTTAGGGGGTCTGGGAAGGAATTTTCCCCCCACCACCAGATTGGTCTAGGTAGAGTATGTGTGTGGTGGGGGGCGGGGTTGCCTTCCCCACAGCAGGTTTCAGGGAGGACTTATTATGGTGAGGAGGAAAGGGGGTTAAGTAAGTGTGGGGCAGACGTCCCATACAGGTACTCCATAGGGAAGGCATCCAGTGACCAGATAAGTGGCCTGGGAAAGAACTTGAAAAGGAACAGAAGGGAGGGGGTTGAGGCGTCTATGAACGGTATGGCAGGGAGCAAACCCCCCCATTCTTATAGTCCACCTTAAATCTTCTACAAGGGAGGCGGAGGGAGGGGGGTCGATGGTAAGGTCCCAGACATGGGCTGGCTGGGGTACCTGGATGAAAAATGAAGGGCGGGCTGGCGGAAGCCCCTGGACAGCTATTGAATGAACAAGGAGTTGCCTGCACTGCACACTTTGTCTGCCAGGTAGTCTCAGACATCTAATAATAAAGTTGCAGCCCGATTAAATCCATATCAAGAGTCTCCTGTCCTTCTTTCGGTAGAGGCAGACAAAGTGCTGTTGCTGTAATAGGAGGTAAAGTTTGAAGCTCCAGAGAAATGAGCAGTGAATTGAACCTGCAATGGAAATGGATCCTATCAGTCAGTTTCTGCTCCATATTCTCAGGAAAACAGAGCTGAATGTAGAAGACGCTAGGATCACTGATTAAATGGGATGCTAAAGTGCCACGGGCTAGAACTGGGCTTGCTGGTCCCTCAGGTCAGAGCTGCAACTGTCAGACCTCACTGCTTGATACCCAGCTGAAACTGGCAGAAAGAGAGCAGTATGAAAAATGCTGCAGGCACCATCAGGGGAATTGGTAAGAGCTGCCTGACTAAGCTTCAGGCATGACAGACAGTGCACTCCTCAGGGGAAGCAATCCTACTCTCTCATCATGAGTCAGTAGACCCAGGTTGTCCCAGCTGGCCTCATGATTCATGCCAGTGGGTCCTATCATAATAGCCAGTATACTGAGGAACAACAAAATGTCCGTTTATCCAGGGAGCTGCAGTGTGAGCAGAAGGGTCTAGCTTTGTAATCTCCACAAGAAGAGTTTTACCAAGTGCGAAGAAAACGAACGTTTAGCAATTAGTTGTAGTCTTCTATTTGTGAAAATATAATTAATTACCCTATTACCTAACCCTATGAGATTTATATGTTGCATATAAAATTATAGTAATGGCATGTAAGGCTTATGTTGTCTTCTAATCTAAGAAATGTGGTTTGAATTCTGATTAGCACTGTGAATTATGAAGTTGTCAATTTATACATACATTGTAGTTCTAGGACAATGGCCTTCATGTGCTGCAGGGATCATCAATGCAGCTGTCAAGAGCACAAAAGCAAATGTCACTAGTGAATTTCTAATTCGTGCTGTTTCACTCCATTTAAAGTTGGGAATTGACCCATCAGAAAGAGTGAATGTAAAAATTCCATTGAAAACTAAAACAAGATAGGATTATCATAAAATCTTAGTTAAATTGAATCTTAGTTTTACAAAATAGTGTAGCAACAAAATTCATACCCTGATTCCTCTTGACTTACTGCACCAGGGTGCAGCAGTCATTCTCCTAGTACCCTGCATATCTTTTACTTCAGATATCCAAAGAATAAAGTGAACACACTTCCATATTATTGGAAGCCATGTGCTGTGCTTTAGGTGTTAGTACCATATAAATGAAAATGTTATTTTAGGTATATACAAGGTAGGGCACTTGCAGATTAGCTTAGCACCTACCTGTTGGTCAGACGGAGGCTCATTTTTGGATCTTTTGATAGAGTAGCTGTTGTCTTTGACCACTGTATCCTGGTCCACATTTTAGATAACAATAAAAAAATTGATCTGACTTTTTGGTTAAAACACAAAGTGAAACCAAACCCTAGTTTCCTTTGGAGTTCAAAAAGTTCTAATAAGCATTTTCTTCTAGTTTTTCATACCTATTGTGTGCACTTAGTTGGTTCCAACCACAAATGGCAGTGGAAGTTCCAAAATGTCAGAAGAAATGCTGTTCTTTCAGGATTCCCAGCCCAATTTGAATCAAAATGCTGGAAACTGAGCTAGGAATTAAGAGAAGAGCACCTTTTCTCAGTAGTAGGCACAAAAGTTTAGCAAAATGTTCAAACTGTTGGGAGCTTGTCCAGACTGAATTTTTTGGGGGGATGGGGGCGGGGGAGCAGTTACTTCTCACTAGTCTTAATGTGGTAGCATACAAAACGTAAACCCCCCAATGGTCCAAATTCACAGCTAGAGTAAATGACCTTAGTCACTGAGTGAAGTGAATGGAGTCATACCAGCTTTACACCAATTGAGGATTTGGCCCAATGAGTCTAGTCACTGGATGTGAGGTAATGAATTATTTAGTTAAATTCATTCTGGTGTCTGGTTGCCAGTTGACAGATGCAATGTGAAACTTATTGGCTGACTACATTAAAAAATATTCTGCAAAGCTAGTCAAGACTATGTAGTTCATCCACAATTAATAAATGAATATCTGAAAGATTTAAAGGAAGCAGGGGTTCCTTTAAATTTATTTTTTCATAGCAATAAAAAGCGTGAAGGAAAAATATTAAAATCTTTGTAGGTTATACAGAGAGTATGCAATATCTTAACACCTTTTCTTCAAGGAGTTAAGGTAGAGATGAATAATATCTTTGAAGAAATATATTAAGCATGCAGGGATCTTATTAACAGGTAAAAGTGATGAAACTTTGAGGAAAGTGTTTAGAACATTTTTGGTAAAGACGTGTTGATTAATAAAAGTAAGAGGGGGGAGATGCATATTAATTTGTTTATGTATGAGAGGTTTCTAGCTCATTAAAACTCTTCTAAGAATTTAACTAGTGAAGCAATAGATAAAGCTAAACATTGGCTTTAATCTTGTTGAGGGCTCCAATATGAAAAAAAAAGATTATTGCTAAATATGTGTAATAGCTCCACTAATGACGTGTTTTGCATACATAGTTAATTCACTAAAAATGAAGGGCAAGTGCAGGCCAGTGTAGTGCTGTTCTGCGATGGAAATTTGGGTTCATTTCCTATCTCAGTCTCTCATTGTTTGTGGCAGTGTGAGTGGAGAGAGTGTTGATCCTCTAAGCAGCATCGTTTGATCAAGTAGCAACTAGTCTTCCTCTGCTTTGCATACAGCCATATATCCCTGGGCTATGATCTTAGCTTATATCTGATAAGAAAGGTTGGTCTTGTCCAGATGTTGGTTTGGAGACCCAAGGGAAAACCCAGGTGTGTGACTCAGGTTTCATATGTTTTTCCCTCTGAATCTTTACTGAACAAGTGTCCTAAAATGGTATATTGTGCTGCTTGATTTACCATCTTTTGGGTGAGCTATAAAACCAAAGCCTTGACTCCTTGTGATCATGAAAGAAACTATGGCACATTTGCAAGAAGTAGGAGTATTAGCTTTGGGTCCTAACCGGATTGCTCGTTGATTAATTGCATTCTGTCTAACTGATGGAAAAAAGAGAAATGAATAAAGAAATTACTTTTAAAAATCAATGGTTTTCTGTGTAAAAAAACTCTCCTTGGGGAGCAGTTTGTCATTTACTGGAAAGTTTCCCTTTAAAATTACCTTTTGCTTTATATATTTGCTTTACTTTTCAATGTCTTTCTTACTTTAAAAGTGCTAGCACAAATATAAGAAAAATGAATGTATTAACGAACATACTTCTAAATTCTGGAAAGGGAATTTGACATCATAGAGATTCTTTATTAACATTTGTTTCTCAATTTTCATCTTTTAATTTAAACATGTATTTAAAGGTTTTTGTTATACTCTCTCTTTTTATCTGTCTTGTACTGTATCTTCTCTTGTTTTCTTTATCAAAGGTACTTCTCCCTTCTGTGATCAATGATTACTTTGATTTAAAAAAATCAAAATATAATAATCAAATCTGGTTTTATTCTCCTTTCACACTGTCATAGAGATGTATATTCACAAGAATATAATACAGAACTGTGCATCAGTTTCCTCTTTTAGACTGTAACATGCACAAATAGTACATCAGAATCATATGGATATTTTCACAGATCCCATGCGTGGGCCACGAAAACTAGAGGTTGTGGAAATCAAATCCTGGCAAATCACTATTCGTTGGGAGCCATTTGGATACAATGTAACACGTTGCCATCGATATAACCTCACGGTCCATTACCGCTACCAAGCTGGAGGACAAGAGCAAGTCAGAGAGGAAGTAAGCTGGGATACGGAAAGTTCACGCCCACAGCACACAATTACCAATCTGTCACCCTACACAAACGTCAGTGTAAAACTGGTTCTCATGAATCCGGAAGGACGAAAGGAAAGCCAAGAACTTGTAGTACAAACTGATGAAGATGGTGAGTTTTTGAATTTACTACTTTGAACAAATATATTTAAAAATATATTCAGCTTCCAACCACTAGATCTTGTTTTGCCCTTTTTTGCTGGATTACTATCAGAAATCTTCCATATGGGCACATACACACCATGGTCAAGTCAATTCTCTACCTTCTATTTGATAAACTAAAGAGATTTTCTTTATCTCATTATAAGGAATGTTCTCCAGATCTCAAAATAATTTTTGAACCTCTTTTCTGAACATTTTCCAATTTTTCAACATCCTCTTCGAAATGTAGACACCAGAATTGTACATAACGGTCTTGCTAATGCCCTGAGCAGAGGTAATACCATCTCCTTAATCCTACTTTATATTACCCTACTTGCATCCAGGGTTTGCATTAATTCTCTTTGCTACAGCATGCCACTGGCAGCTCATTCTCAGCTGTCATCCACCATAGTTCCTACATTCTTTTCAGTGTCACCATACTCCAGGATATAGTCTTGCACCTTATATGTGTGAACTGCATTCTTTGTTCCTAGATGTATAACCTTGGTTTTGGCTCTATTAAAATGCAGTTTGGCAAGTGACCCAGAAAGCTTTGTATAACTGATCTGTCCTATCATTATTTATGACACAATCAATTTGTGTGCCATCTGCAAATTTTTAATGCAGAGATTTTTTAATTTTTTCGAGATCATTATAAATATTACAAACAGCTATTGCATTGGGCCAGAAGCAGATACCTATAAGACTTCACTGGAAGCACCCCTAATCAATGATGATTTCCCATTTACAATTAATTTTTTAGATCTACCAGTTAACCAGTTTTTAGCTATTCAATATATGCTACAAAGATTTTGTATAGTGCTATTTTTTTAATCAGACTGATGAAAGGCACATGACATTCTACGTATATTATGTCAAAAAGTTATCTATATCAACCAAACTTCTTATCTCATCAAAAATTATATCGTTTGTTTGACCAGCCCTATTTTCCATTAAACTTGTGTTGATTGGCATTAATTATGTGACATTCTTTAATTCTTTACTGATTGTGTCCCATATCAGCCATTCTATGATTTGCCCGGGATTACCAGCCTATAGTTACCCAGGTCATTCAGTTTACCCTTTTTAGGTATTGACATAACATTTACTGATTTCCAGTCCTCTGGAACTTACCCAGTGTTCCAAGTCTTGTTAAAAATCAGCACCAAAGGTTGAGAGAGCTTTTCAGCCAGTTCTTTTAATCATTGGTGTCATATGAGGACTGCAATTATCATGACTCTCTGTGGTGGTATAGTATTTGTGCGTGTATTTTTGCAAATACAGTTCTAAAAACATGGCCCTAGAACGGATAAAGAGAGAGAGAGAGAGAGATAGACATTTTCAGTAAGCTCTAGTGACTACTCTGTATAAATCCATCTGTAATGCAACAAGGAATATCATTAGCCCAAATCATTATCATCATTGTACTGCTCGGTGGTGCATTTTTAAAAGAGACACATGATTGTTTCCCATATTTCCATTTATATGAATAGCTTGCCTTTTAACAGAGGAACACTAAAACATTTTTTCTGGCCAATCAGTTCACTGCAGAATTGTAAAAGTCCTCTTATTTCTCAAGAAAATGTGGCTGTTCATGGATGAATTATTCTGTTGTCTTGAAGTAAAGCCCCTTTTTTCTTGCAGTCAGGATACTTTACATATTATGAAGACCAAAAAATTACATATATTTGCTGTTTCCAAATATTCTTAGTTAGAAACAACTAACAGCAGAAGACTGAAATGTTTAGATCCTACAAAACCAAATCAAAAACATATATATCTATAATTATGTCAGGAAAGTTTTAGGGTTTGTGTAGATCAAGTTAATTCCTAGAACTAAAAACAAAGACCCCACCCTTACTAATTTACTGCAGACCTCCTCTGCCCCCGCCTCAGAAGGCCAAAACACTATGCTGTCTTTTTATTGACTGCTGCATGTCTTGGCAAAGACAGGAACTGGAGAAAACAGAATTTAAACTGTTTCAAAATGTACAATTATCATGAAATGGAATAGCCCATAAAAGCCCTGATCTTCGAAATTGTTCTGCAAAGGGGAACTTCTGCTCCAATATGGAAAAACGTAGAGATTGGATCTTCCGTAACTGCAAAGAATATACTCCTTTTTCTTTTCGCTCCATTGCCCATGCCCCAAAAAGAGATTAGAAGGAGAGAATCCTTTAGTTTAAGGATGAAATGGCCCTTTTTCTTATACAGCCATTTTTACATCATGTTATTTAACATGTTGTTTGACAAGATTCAGCACTCTTTGATTTTCTATTACAAATCAAAGAGAAGGCGTAGAAGAAAGGTTTGTATCTACACTGAATTACATTGTGCCATGCATGTTGATTTTGCAAGCTATTTTCACATGCACCCGCATATTGGAGTACAGGAGCAAGTTTTTACCTTGCAAAAGTGGTCATGTTCCAATACCTAATAATTTTCAACTTACAAAGAGTCATGCACTTCATAGAAACTGGAGTTAGGGCTTGTCCACAGAGACTCTGCGTGGCAAGCCAGTGTGTGAATGGACTGCACTGTAGCCTGCTGTGCATTAAGGTTGCCATGTGTACCCTGTTACTGCACACTAAAAGTTCCATAGTGCACTCTGCAACAGCACTATGTCAAAGTGCACCATGAAACTTTTCTTATGTGGTACCAGGGTTCACTCCTCGACTTAGTGCATAGTAAACTAGTGCTCTGTAAGTTCACACTGTGGCTTGCCACGCACTAACTCGCCATGTGGACAAGCTCTCAGAAAAGACATACTCCTGTAGTCCATCTTTCTGCCAATACGGGACCATTCGTTACAGTGTATTTTTGAGTCAAATCCAGTTAGTTTTAAATAACCCAATGGAAATATATAATTAATTAATTATGAAATAGGGTCATCTCAAATTTTTCTTTTCTTGCTTTAATCCCATTACTCTTAATTAACCCCCCCAAAACATAATTTATCCCTCTTCTTGGGATTTACACCCTTCAGACATTTGTAGATGGTTGTCATACTGATTTTCTTTACTCATAATTTAGCCAAGATATGTGTAGTTCTGATCTCTTTCCCCAGTCACTCTGACTCCAAATCTTAATCAGTTTTGGTGCTGTTCTCCAAATTCCCTCCACTTTGTCAGCAGGCTTCAGGTAGTCAGCTGCCCATACTGAAGTCAGCATTATATAGATGTGCCTGGCACAGCTACTTAGGTTGGACTCTGGATGTGCTGCATAGAGGAGTGCATATACCCTGTGTGCATTTTCCTACTCGGAATACTGTGTTCTGGGGGTTCTACTAAGGTGAGTGTGGGAAAGCAAACCGTTGCAGAGGTACAAGGAGATGATATTAGAAACCTGACACTTCTGATAATGCTGATTCTTCAGTCTTGGGTGTCTCATGTAATGAGAGGCCTTAAGAAAGGTGCCAGGTCTTCGTATTGTCATCACTGTTTCCTACCACCCACTCTGTTGTAAGGCTTCAGTCCTAATGACAGCCAGCATCGCTGTCCAAATACTATGTATGACACCCTTATACAGGCTAATTACAGTACCTTAATCTACTAAAACAGTGCCTTATACCTTAGTATATTTATATGTGTCATAGATGAGTGTTTCATATATATTTCTAGTTTAGGAAATGTGTAGGATAGTGGTTAAGGAAGAGGTACTGAAAATTGACTTGTAAACAAGACACTTCACTTAAATCCTAGCAAAAAAGCCAAATTTCCCACCTTTTTCATCAATGACATTTTACTGGAGAAGTCTTATGTTCCCTGCTGTTTCTCTGTTTTAGACTGTAGTGTTCTGCAAGTGGCACATATGTTTATACTTCTTCCTTTACAGCTGTATCCATTAACAGTCGAAAACCACATTGATAACATGTTAGCTTTGTTCTATGGGGAAGAGATAGTGACTGTTATTTCCTAGCGGGCACGTAATCTATTATACCCCTGTTATAGCCAGGGAGAAAGAGAGAAGAGAAAAGGGCTGCATAGGATCTGTTTAACAATTTGCCAAAGAATATTTATATCTGCAGAATGTAAACTGTTATACTGAACAGGGGACTGAAACCTGATGAACTGGTATCATGCCTAGAGAATGTAAATGTTAGTTTGAGCATTTCTATATGTTACTTTCCAAAACAGTACTTTTTTCTTTTCTTTCCTTTTCATTAGTCCCTAGTGCTGTACCACTTGAATCAATCCAAGGAAGTACTTTTGAGGAGAAGATTTTTCTTCAGTGGAGAGAGCCAGTGCAAACATATGGTGTGATCACTTTGTATGAGGTAGATATTTTTTATCATGGTTTCTCAAACACACATTTTTATCATGGTTTCATTTTTACCTACAATTTTGATGTATTGGCATCCTGTTGATAAAAATACTTTGTTAAAAATGTTTGTAGATTTCATTTTCCAGACTCCCATAAAAAATTGTGTAGTATGTACACAACAAATTGTGTTGTGCTTGGTTGATTGTCCACACTGCATGTCGGACTGAGGCACATAAAGAGGCAGTGTGGTCTAGTGAACGGGGAACACTAGGAATCAGAAGACCTGGATTCTCTCCTTGGCTGCCATCAACCTGCTGTGTGCCCTTAGGCACCTCACCTGTCTCTGGCTCTGATCCCACTCTCCCTTCCCACTGCTGTCTGTCTTGCCTATTTAGATTGTTAGCACTTAGGGGCTGAATTTTAGTTATATTCTGTGGTTATTTATTTAGTCCCTGATACAGTAAAGCAATTAAACATGTTCTTAAGTCCCACTGACTTCAGTCGAACTTAAGCATCCTCAAGTCCTTTGCTAAATCCGGGCAACAGTTGATAAGAGATTTAGAAATGGGAGGAAAGGCACTAAATAAGTTTAAAATATTACTTAGGCTGAAACGAAACACTTTAAAATACTGTATTTCTTTGAGAAATTTGGCCCTGTCTTGTACGTTTACAGGAAACAATGCAAAAATTAAAAGAAGAGCATAATTGGTATAAGATAATTAAAAATTAAATGTTTCTTTGAAAATTGTCCCAGTTAGAACACAAGCTGACAACACAAATAAAATCTAATGCAGGAGAAAATTACTGGAAATGAGGATGGCACTGGGTTACTATACCTGAGGATGCCACTTGCTAAACCTGTGAGGTATATTGTTCTATTTAGTAATATAGATAGATCTTAGATCTTAGTAGATCTTAGAGTGAATTGTTAAAAAGAAAAAATGGAAGAGATAATAGTAGTGACAGTCATCATCACATTTATATGGGACTCATTTCAGGAAGCCTATTGTAATAGAAACAAGCAGGTGCAATTTAAAAAAAAAAGCTAGCATTTTTTAATGCAAATTCAACAAAATTACATGTTGTTAGGTTTCTAAAAATTGCTGTTCTTCCTCATATGAAACCTTTGCCTGAATACCTTTCAGAAAAACTGACAAAGGACTGCACAGATTAAGCTGTCAGACAGTAATCATTGTTAAACCTCTTACCTGACCTTACTACTAAATTGGAATTGAAATGCTTGAGAGACAGAGGGAGAGAAAGATACAGTAAAAGAAAAGAGTTAATTTGAATGCTAAGCAACTGATGCTGTTTTGCAGGCTGTTTTATTGTGAAAGATTATGATAATGTATGGCTTGGTTTTGGTAGAGCTAACTTTCATAATGTTGCAAACCAAACAATTCGTCAATGATCAGACTGTTTTAATTGATACATATTTTAGTATCTTTGCTGATTTTAGGCCTGACTTGTACAAAAATGCGTATTGGCAAACTTTCTGCCTAAAAACACACAGGCATAACCTTATTGCTGAGTAATTTGTGCCCCGTGGCATAGCTCTCTCCTTAATACATGCATGTAACTTACATAAACTGTTGTAGGAGTTGCAGAGGTGCATTCATTGAGAGGAGAATAATAGACCAACTCTGCACTTGTAAGGATTATGGGAAATTTCAAGCTTCTTTCAAAACAACTCAGAATTCTAACAATGAGAAAAAGAAATAGCTCAAAGAAATTAATATTAATATCTTTCCGTGCTTGATGTTAATCAAAAGTGCAGTTACAGTGGGAATAGGACAAGCAACATAAATCAGATTACATTTAAAAAAAGTCAGTTTAAGTATAAATACTGATATCAGCAGTTTGATTCAGTCACACCAGGTCTTGATCTTTCTGCAAATCCCAGTTAAGGTGGTGGACCTGATCAGGTGGCTGAATACAAACTACAACTCACGAGACACAATTGAAGGCTCCTATTTGCTTGCCTGGGTCTAGTTCTGTGGCACGCCATCCTGTTGCTTATGAGCCTGAGATATGTCACACTGGGTTTTTAATCATCACAAGGTGTTCTGTTCCTTAGAGGCACTCAGTGGATCACAGGGGAGCACTGTGCCTGATGTGGTGGCGAAGAAACTTTTCTTAACCCACTTCTGGGACAAAGGGAAAAAACACAGAGTTATCTTCTTCCTAGATACCAATGACGGGAAGAGACTGGAACTCCCACTATAAACAGCAGGACAGAGAAAAAGTATAGTGTAGATTAATAAGATCTTCATGATTCATCAAGCTTTTATGCAGTTGGAGATATGTAATGTCTTCAAAAATACTGTAGAACCTCAGTGTTATGAACACCTCAGGAACTGAGGTTGGTTGTAACTCTGAAATGTTCGTAACGCTGAACAAAATGTTGTGGGTTGTTCTTTCAAAAGTTTACAACTGAACATTGACTTCTTATACCTTTGAAACTGTACTATGCAGAAAAAAATTGCTGCTTTCTCTTTATTTTTTTTAGTAGCTGTTTGGCACAGAACAGTACTGTATTTTCTTTTTTTTTTCTTTTGCCTCTGCTGCTGCCTGATTCCATACTTCTGGTTCCAGGTGTGGGGTTAACTGGTTAACTGGTCAGTTCGTAGCTCTGGTGTTTGTAACTCTAAGGTTCCACTGTAAAACAAACCTGAATTTGCCTTTAAACTAGGTAAAACAATCTGCAACTCCCAGGTAGCCACTTATGTTTCTGGTGGGGAAAACTGTGGAATGAAAGTATCAAGGGTCCAGTTCACCACTAGTGTAATTAGGTGCAAATCCACTGATTTCAGCAGGGGATTTGCACCTAATGTGTTTGAAACCCAGAACCTCAGTGAGTAAGAGACATCATTTAGAGGACAAAATGGTACTAACATGTGTAGACTTGTCTACATAAAGCTCTTTTTGTTTCCGCCCCATTTCCCACCATTGCCAACATCAGTGCAACAGTCCAGTTGGTGGCAGTGAAAGGAGCGCTAGCTGTATGCAGGATTCTAGCCAGCCCACCAGCATTTTAAGCAACATTACCTAAATCTGGTAAGAGTGAAAAATTGCGGTCACTCCTTTTTCATTGTTAACCTTCCCACTGCGGCTGCCATCTGTAAAGGTGCCCTGGTCTCAGCAGTGTTGCGAGAATTTTCAGAAAAAAAAATCTTGAGTAGGTAAAGTTTTACTGAATGATAGCAGGAGCGGGATGTAAATACTATGAGAACAAATGTATGCTTAGTTTGCCCAAGCAAGTCACTTTTTGTTAAATGAACATGTTGCTTATGAGCTATGAAAGAGCTTGTGTTTTTGTGGTGCATTCTCCTGATAGCTATAGTTCTACCTCGGGGATCACAGAATCTGTGACCTCCTGTGTGTTTTAAATAAAACTGGGGTGAGTCATTGGGAAATCCAGCTAAGAACCACCATATCTGGTGGCTCCACCACTCTCTCTGCTTCCCCACAGACTTCATGGGAGCAGTTTTTTTAGATCAGTCCTTGCTCAGGGAATTTCAGGAGACTAGATTAGTCCTAACAAAAGTGTATCAAAGTTTTTCTTGGGCACTAATACCTGTCCTCAGCATTTTATTGATACTAGACTAGATGTATTATGTACAATTACATTTTTCACTGATTCAGAGATTTTAGGAAATTATAGATATTTAACTGCAATGGGAAGGGTTAGTATTGTACCTGAGTGAGTGCCAGTTCCCCTCACAGGGATATTGTGAGCATAAATACATTAAACATTGTGAAGGGATTTGCGAGCTACTAATGAAAAGCACTATTCATGCTAAATAGGCCCAATGGCCTGTGATGGGATGTTAGATGGGGTGGGATCTGAGTTACTACAGAGAATTCTTTCCTGGGTATCTGGCTGGTGAATCTTGCCCACATGCTCAGGGTTCAGCTGATCACCATGTTTGGGGTCGGGAAGGAATTTTCCTCCAGGGCAGATTGGAAGAGGCCCTGAGGGTTTTTTGCCTTCCTCTGTAGCATGGGGCACGGGTCACTTGCTGGAGGATTCTCTGCACCTTGAAGTCTTTAAACCATGATTTGAGGACTTCAATAGCTCAGACATAGGTGAGAGGTTTATTGCAGGAGTGGGTGGGTGAGATTCTGTGGCCTGCGTTGTGCAGGAGGTCAGACTAGATGATCATAATGGTCCCTTCTGACCTTAATATCTATGAATATAAGGAATAATATTATTATGATGTACTGTATCTCTCTTTCAGGCCCTTGTTTAATATACACAGTATACACATTCTTAATGTTTCTATCTAAATATTCCTTCAGATAAGTATGATAATGTGCTATAAATATAACAATGTCAATTTTCATTGTATATAATAGCGCTGGAGGTATGTATAAATTGCAACTAAATCTACTTATTTAAAAGCAAAAAAGGGGGGGAATCATTTTTACATTTTAATTTTTTTAACGAGTTCCTTGTTTTTAAATGATCCTGTTGTTGTTATAGGTGATAGATGTTAAGTTACCAGTAAAAACACTGTACAGTTGTCATAAATATAAAGGGAAGGGTAACCACCTTTCTGTATACAGTGCTATAAAATCCCTGCTGGCCAGAGGCAAAAATCCTTTCACCTGTAAAGGGTTAAGAACCTAAGGTAACCTCACTGGCACCTGAACTAAAATGACCAATGAGGGGACAAGATACTTTCAAATCTGGAGGGGAGGAAAAAGGTTAGTAAGTAATCTAGCTAGAAAATGCGTTCGGTTTTCTTTGTTATGGCTTGTAAATTTGCTGTGCTGGAGGAAATGTGTATTCCTGTTTTTGTGCCTTTTTGTAACTTAAGGTTTTGCCTAGAGGGATTCTCTATGTTTTGAATCTGACTGCCTGTAAGATTATCTTCCATTCTGATCTTACAGAGTTGTACTCTATCTCTTTTTTTGTTCTTCTAATAAAGTTCTGATTTTTAAGAATCTGATTGGGTTTTTTGGGTCTTAAAAATCCAAGGGGTTTGTGCTCATCTTGTTTTTCTCAAGCCTCCCCAGGAAAAGGGGTGTAAGGGCGTGGGGGGATATTTTGGGGAAATAGGAACTCCAAGTGGTCCTTTCCCTGTTCTTTGTCTAAAACACTTGGTGGTGGCAGCGTTTTACCTAATCCAAGGGCAAAGACTTTGTGCCTTGGGGAAGTTTTAACCTAAGCTGGTAGAAATAAGCTCAGGGGGTCTTTCATGAGGGTCCCCACATCTGTACCCTAGAGTTCAGAGTGGGGAAGGAACCTTGACAACAGTACTTTACTGTGAAGTTGTATTGCTGTTTTAATGAAAACAGGTAACAGTATTTGAAAGGAAGGAATGAAAAATGAGGGATCTATTTTGCTGATATTTAACATATTTTTTCCCAAAATGGGAATCTGAGTTTCGTGCAATGCAATCACAACCGGAAGAATTACAATGCAGCAATAATAAGACATGAACTTGAGACTGAAGCATAAGGATCACCCACTTTGTGAAGCATTCACTTAAAACTGCCCTTGTCATCTAGTAAGGCTAATCTTATTCAGTGCAAGGTGTAATTATATTCAGACAGCTTAGAAATGAGGCTACACCTTTTTCACTTGCATATCCGTTTTTGCGAGTTGTGTTTTTGTTGTTGAAAACCAACAGTAATATGGTTTCAGAAAAATGACATTGTGAAAGCCAGCAACTTAAAGGTATTAACTTAAGCCTGAACCCATCCTTTACAGTTGTAATCTAGCTGCCTTTAAGTCCCTGTATCCCATGCTACTCTGAAACCTGTATCTATAAAAGTAACAACTCATAACAGTTTTGGCTGAGTTCCTGTGTCCCTTCATTGGATTCAGGATTTGAAGAGTATAAGGGAGTAAGATTGCTTATCATAAAATGTCTGACAGTGCATACATCAGAAGGGTTTATGGGATAAAGATACAATCTTTGTCCATCTGCTCAAGATATTTTATAACTTCCTTATTCTTTTGCAGATCACCTACAAGGCTGTCAGTTCCTTTGACCCAGAAATAGATTTATCGAATCAAAGTGGACGAGTTTTAAAGCTAGGAAATGAAACTCATTACCTTTTTTTTGGACTGTATCCTGGGACCACCTATTCTTTTACCATTAGAGCCAGCACAGCGAAAGGATTTGGACCTCCAATCACAAATCAATTCACAACTAAAATATCAGGTATTATATTAAAGTAATTATTATTTCTGTTTTCTTACAATGGTAACCATTATTTTCTTTGTTATTCATCTCTCTTTTGATGCCTTATCAGCAGTTTGTCAGAAAAATAAAATCAGTTTTCTTCCTTGAAAGTACCAGACAAACTGATACACATTTATGTATTTGAATAATTTTCAGGTGCTTGAAGATCAGTTAGAACATGCACAGTTTTTGAAGTACTGGTTCAAAACCAGGCAACTTATCACCCAAGAAAACATATGATTTATATGCCTTTGGAGTCAGTCCCAGCTGCTTCTTGTTGCAAAATTTAGCACAGGATTTTTTTGGACATGAATCTGAGATAGTTTCATTCAAAGCTCATTCAGCCTCAACATGATTCTAAATTTGTACAGTAACAGTGCTGGAAAATCTCTTTAATGTGGCATGAACAATTGAGAGTACAGCAGAAATGCTACATGTCTAGCACTCACTTAGGAAGTGTAGCAAATTGCCACGCTGCACACATTCCTAACAGACATGTTGACTGAGGCAGATTTGAAACTGCATTAGACAAGAACATCAGGACCTGTGGTTTTCAGAGAGCGGGAAGACACAGCTTCTCTAAAAGCCCATGCACAAAAGCCCCCAAAGACTGAGGAACATTTTATTCCCTTCATTGATGGAATGCGATCCTACTGCATGCTCTAAAACACCTATATAATTGATGACAAAATGTGTTCCAAATCTGTAGTGGAGGTGTCCTTATACTCAGCTTCTCTACCATGTTTCTGTGAATTAAACTGACAGTCAGTAACGAACTTGAAGCATGGTCTCAGAACAATATTCACTCCCAAAATATGCATTAGCTATCTTTCCCCCCAACTCTCCTTTTTGGAAAATATAAAGCAAGCTATTATGAGTACTGTTTTTTCATCTTGTGTCCCTGTTACTCCTATTCTCCCTGCATCTCATTGTAACTTTATCATCTTTGTGGTAGAATGAACAGAGAGCAGTGCAAAAGTATTAATCAGAAGCACAGTAAGGAATTGAGGAAGGGCAATAAATGCAAGTTGGGAATTTTTGTTTTTACTGTACCTAGTAATTGTAGGGATAAATTCATTGAATGATTATCAGCTAAAAAGCCTTGAACATAATTGGCACTGGAATGTAAAGACTAGGGATCCAATTCCCCCACCCCACCTCCCATTGTCTGAAAGAAATCAACAGGACTGCTTGCATTGTAAGATATTACTCAATTTGAGTGAGGGTGGCAGAATCAGGCCCTATGAGAATAGAGAGAAAGAACAAAGTAGTGGAAGAGGAGAAGAATCTAGAGAGTTAGGAACAGTAGTGAAAGGTTAGGATAGCTATTCTCTTTTAAATAGTGGTGTTAATGGTTAAATGGTTAACATGAATGGAAATTACACACATGCATTGTGGGTAAGATATGCCACATGAAGCCGCACCAGTTGTTTCCATGAGCACATCAGATCTCCCCCCCTCCCCCACCCAACAATCGGCAGGATTAGGTCTCCCCTCCCTCCCTCCCTCCCCCCGGCACGGTGAGGCCTACCCCTGTGTTTTGGTGGGACACGAACAGGGAATGCCTATCCCTGGGATTTTCAAAGGAACCCAAGGGACTTAGACACCCAGTCCCCACTGAATTTTAAATAGGAGTTAAGCATCTATTTCTTTTAGGCTTCTTTAAAAATTCCAGCCTGAAGTGGTGGGGATGATTCAGGAAGTGACACTCTTCCCTCTGACAGGTTTCAGAGGAACAGCCGTGTTAGTCTGTATTCGCAAAAAGAAAAGGAGTACTTGTGGCACCTTAGAGACTAACCAATTTATTTGAGCATGAGCTTTCGTGAGCTACAGCTCACTTCATCAGATGAAGTGAGCTGTAGCTCACGAAAGCTCATGCTCAAATAAATTGGTTAGTCTCTAAGGTGCCACAAGTACTCCTTTTCTTCTTCCCTCTGAGTCAGTCCTATACCAGCGTTCCAGTGTGAGGTTGGAGGACGGTTTGTGCTGTCAGTACCTTTCTCTAGTGAGATGTAAAACCAAAGTGCTAAGATCTCCTAAGACTTTTTACAATTGTTCTGGCCAATTTCCAATTTGTGTAATTACATTTTAATCTCTTAAATCTATACTGCATTTTCAGTAGAATAAGATATACTTAACTTCCTATCCTAATAGCGTTGTTATGCCCTGGTAAACAGATGCCATGTTTCATCACAGAATTGGCTGTTTGTCAGTGATGGAAAAAGTGATTCCTTTGTAAATTTGTGGTGTTTTAGGTAGGGCTGGTAGCACCACCTACTAAAGTTGCCTGACACTTCCCATTATAAGACCCTGTTCTCAATTGCTTATAAGTTTGCTAAACTTCAACTGAGCAGGCTAAAATTTTCCATGCTGTCTGACTCAGACTGATTTTTATTATTATTATTAATTTCAGCAAACATGGTTCAGCCATTTCCAGGAACAAAGTTAGGAAATAATACATTGGTTTGCTCAAGTTAAAAAAATCTGGCAACCACTGTGCTTAGTAAATTGAAATTTGGCAGGATGGGTATTCTTTGTGTCAGGGATGTGCCTTTTACCATCCCTATGAAAATCCATCCACATTTGGCCCAAGTTATAAGCCTTTGAAAAATCACAGTTCATACATGCTCCATGGAGACTTGCTAGAATTTAGCAATTAAAGTCTCTAAAGAGTCTGTCCTCACTGAGCATACTTGAGTCTGTCATAGTTCCTTGTGCTAACCAGACTGCTCATGGGCCATTCCCAAGGAGTAGTTGAGCATGCTCCAGCCCAGGCTGTGGGGGCTCAGAAAGACTTTCTCTGTAATGTCTGCACCCAGCTGCTCCAGGTTAGGGTGGAGCCAGGCACCAGAACTGAGAACAGGAAGCCTGTCTCCCCGTGCTCTCAGTGACCACCCTGCTGGCACCCAGACAGCATGGAAGAGGAAACCATCTAATTGGAATACAGAGAGGACAAAAGATGGAATGGGGAGAGGGAAAGGAGTAGATTGGGATTAGTAGTCTGGTGAGACTGGGGCTGGGGTGGGGGAAGAGAGACTAGGACTGGGAGTTGGGGAGATTGGGAGGCAGGGACTGGGACCAATGAGAGAACTGGTGATAGGGGACTGAGAGGGGAACACTGAAATTAGACAAGGAGCTGGAGGGAGGAGAGAGTTGGGACTGGTTGAGCAAGGAGACTGGTACTAGGAATGGAGCCAATGGTTCCTGAGTCTCCTCATTTCTCTGCTGTCAGCACATATCTGTGAAACGTCTGGCAAAGTGTCCCATCCCCATAGTACTAGTCTACATAGAGGATGGCAACCTACTACTGCTATCAGTTACTTCATTAGATCAAGTAACAGATATCTGTATGGACCATCTGAGGGATCCAACTCTGCTGAGAGGCCACTTGGGAGTCAGTATGATGCCACATGGTGGAAGTTCTGTTTTTTTCAGTTTGCTTTTTTAAAACCTGGGAAATTATATCCATGACAAAACTATGCTAAAAGAACATTAGTAAGGTTGCAAAGTCAAGCGTTCAGAAGTTTGTAAATGCCAGAATTAAGGGTGCCTTTGCATCCTTAATTCAGCCCCCTTGTATATATGCAGTATGATATAATCTTTAATTACATGATGAAGTACTATGTTTTGCAAAAGACCTCTGCCTCATTCAGTGCACAGTTGGACCTGTTCTAGGGACGAATCAGATGGTGTAGTAATGGAGACTGTTACCTGTAGGACTCCTGCCTTATTTTTTGCAGAAGTTGGAAGGAGTGCAATGAATGAGGTAGGGGATTGCAGGAAGAGAATGGATGGTGTCATGGTTAAGACAGTTAAAGTTTGCCCTGGAGAACTGAATTCTGTGTCTGCCTCTGCCAGAGTTCCTGTGTGATACTAGGCAAGTCACTTAGACCAAACTTTTCAGAGATGGTTACTTAACTGTATGTTCCTCATTTTCTGGTTTCCTGACTTGCGACCCCGGGACATTATTTATAGAAGTGCTGAGCACTCACAACTGCAGCTGAAATCAATGGGAACTCTGCTTGAATATATAAAGTGCTATATGATACTGGGTACTCTGAAAATCTGGTCCTAAGTGTCTCAAACTGGGCACTCAAATTTAGTGGATACTTTTGTTCTTAATCTTACTGGTCTCAGTGCTCTGTCTGTAAAATGGAGATAATACCATCCACTCACCTCACAGGACAGTTGTGAAGATAAATTGATTAATGTTTGTGAAACACTCTGATACTATGGTGATGAATACCATGAAAATCCCATGGGGAAATTAATAAATTTGTCTTCATAGCAGGTTTTGCGATGATATGGCCGAAAGAGCTAATGTGATCCTTGGATATATAAACTGGGTAATCTTGAGTTGCAGAAGAGAGATTATATTCCCTCTGTGTTTGGCAATGGTGCAACCACTACTGAAATACTGTGTCCACAATTCAAGAAGGATGTTGATAAATGGAAGGGGGTTCAGAGAAGAGCCATGAGAATGATTAAAGGATTGGAACATGTGTCTTAGAGTGATAGACTAAAGGAGCTCATTATGTTTAGTTTAGCAAAGAGGCAGTTACGGGGTGACTTGATCACAGTCTGTAAGTAGCTACATGGGGAACAGAAATTTGATAATAGAAGGCTCTTCAATCTAGCATACAAAGCTATAACAAGATCCCAATGGCTGGAAGCTGGAGCTAGACAAATTCTTACCTGAAACAAGGTGCACATTTTTAATTGAGAAGTTAGCCAGTGGAACAATTTACCAATGGTTATTCTCCATCACTGGAAACGTTTACATTAAGATTAGAAATTTTGTTTAAGATCTGCTGTAGTTCAGTGAAGAATTAATTCAGAGAAGTCCTGTGTTATGCAGAAAGTCAGACTAGAAATCACAATGGTCCCTTCTGGCCTTTTAACCTATAAATCAATGAATAGTGTGCAGTAAATAAGGCCTAGGGCCAAACATTGAACAGTGAGGATAAAAGAAAATTTTGAATAGCAATTGAACACTGTCCAGCCTATGCACAGAATGAGGTGAAGTCCTTAATGACAATGAAAAAAGTAACAACCACCACCTAACTAAGCCTTGTCTACAGTGGGATTTCAGGCACCAGTGTAGACAGTTTGCACCAGCACAGCTTACTCTGGTTTTAAACTGGGATAAACTGCACTAATGCTAATCCTGTTGCACTGTTGTAAATGGTGTCTACACTAAGGGATGGCCTCACTAGCTACATAAATGACTGAAATGTCCGTGGTGACAAGATCTGAGGGTATCTCTGATGTTCATCCACCAGCAAGAAAGTTGAGCCTCCGTTTTCAAAAGTAATTGGTGATTTTGCATTCTTCAATTTTTGGGTGTTCAAATTGCCAACTAAAAAGAGTTTTGACCTATAAAGGCTGGGTTCTTAGCACTCTCTAAGTGTCAGGCCCTTTGAATGTATATCAAGTTGGGTATCCAAACTGACTAGTTGCTTTTTGAAAATGGCCACGAAGTGTGTTTTTTCTGTTTCATTTTTATTGTAGTTCTGTGTTTTGTTTTTGTTTTTCTAAATTCATTTACTTAATTATCTGTTGTTTAACTTGTGCTGTTGCACTAACTCTGTATTCTAAAGAGGTCTTTATATGTGTCAAATCCATTTTTAAAATAAACTGTTAAAACAAACCTAGAAATAATTAGTCTATTTTGCTTCTTGTTTTTCCGCCTAGCACCATCTATGCCACCCTATGAACTGGAAACACCTTTGAATCAAACTGACAGTACTGTGACAATCCTGCTGAAACCTGCACAGAGCAGAGGAGCTCCTGTCAGGTATAAGGGGGGAAATCTTTACAAAATTAAAATTAAATGGATTAATTTCTTGAATGTGTTTTCTGGGGATTTTCTACACAGAAATCAGAGTCTAAATCCATGTCTGTATTAGTGCTAATTAAATTAAATAACTGAAGAAAATGAAAGTGCTTTGATGTTGTGTGTTCGGGTATTGTTTAAAAGATTTGATCGAGATGCAAGTGGCTTGTTCTTTGAAGATAAGGAACAAAGCCACAGTGCTGTTGTGTGGGTGGCTTCTTTTACTACTTTAAGGTAATTGCTTACTACAATGTTATGAGTTCAAGGACATAGCACACTTTTTATCCTGACCTGCTATGTTTTTATATCTGCTCTTCCTGTTTACCTCAGAATTTACTTACAACTATTTAAGACTTTTACTAAGTTAAATAATACCAAAAAAATGGATTATAAAATCAATGAAATTTAACATTTAACAGTTAGACCAGTTTGGCAGGAAGAGGAAAGAACACTGAAAAATCAATAGCTCAACCTGTTTAGATTTTTCTACTACTGATTTACATGGATATAACTTCCCATTTTGTAATGGTTTGTATTCCACAAGTAGGTATACGATTTTGTGTAAATCTTACAATGTTTAGATTAAAAGAATTTCATTCTTTACAGAAGGGAACAGAAGAATGACCTGATAGCTTTGAATGTAAACCACTGAGGAGCTCAGCATTCTAAATACGTGTAATTAAAGACTACAGAAATAGATTTTTGCAAGATTAGGCTCTTTACTTTTGAATTATCAGATAGAGTCTAAAACAGTAAATCCTATTGTTACTGAAAGAAAGCATTAACATCCATAATTAAGAACTGTCAAGGCACTTTGATGATGTAGTTTTTGATAATTTTTGTCAGTTTCAGAAGTATGGTTCTGATATATCCAGACATGAGTAAATTGAACTATTCCACTGCACATTATTATTTAATATAGTATTACAGCAAGGTATACTACCTTTAATTAGATTATTTCTGTTTTCTGTAATATAACGTATCTATTTTTGAAGGCTGAATCCAAAAGAAGGAAGGTGCAACCTTATTTACTGTTAAGATTTTTTTGAATGAGACTTTTTTTTGGGGAACTGTGGCAGGGTGCTGCAGGAGAAGCCCTAATCAGGTCCTGTCACTCCAGCCCCAATCAGGGGAAATGGGTTGGAGCTGGACCACTAGCTAGGACTGGCCTGGAAACTGGCCGCACCTGTCAGCCTTGTTAACAGAGGCTAAAAGCTTGGGAGAAAGTGAGTCCAAAGAAGGGGGCGGAGACCAGTCAGGGAGAATAAGCTGAGAAGGAGCCAGGATCCTACTACCCTATTGCCACTGAGGCCTGTGCTAGGACAAATTTATACATAATCTGTAAATAGTTGAAGTCTGGTGGTGGGGACCGGACAGAGGAATAAAGAGCATGGATGTTGCACCAGCTTGAAGTGGTCCTGACTCACTGGGGAGTCGGGCTAGGAGGCCGAACCCCGCGGGGTGCGGTAAGCAGCCCCATTGCAGGAACATACGAAACAGTTGAGAAAAAACTGAAAGCAATAAAATCAGATTTTATCTGAACCGGCCTGTTTTACAGATTATACTAGAACTGGAATCACATATATTTTCCCTCTTTCTAGCTTTCCTGTTTCAAACCATTTTATTAAATAACTTTGGTTCATCTCATCTTATTTCTCAGTGTTGTAGTACGGTCCTGAATATAAACATCTGGATTAAAATGGCACAAAGTAGTTATGTTACTATATAAACACAGGCTTGTTAGACCATAGCTAAAGAACCAGTTCAATTGCTTTTATCTAGCCTACTGAATTAAATACAGTTTGACTCCTGGAAGTTATCGATAGGTTGAAAATCTCACCCACAATACAAAGGCGCTAGTTGGGAGATTTTAAAATGCCAAGTAAGGGGATAAGCGGGTAGGGAAATAGAAAGAGGGATTTAGAGTAACATCAAACTACAGAGCTGACAGAATCAAATGAACACATGACAGCAAATTTACAAAGCTCTTTTGCAACAGCACCTAAAATAAAATAGGTGCAGATGCCAAACTACTAGTGTAAATAATGAGTGAAAGAGGAAATAAAAATTAAAGTTAGAATTCCTTTAATATTATTTAAAGTTTTATTGTGCATTACACACTCAGATATATTGTCACTGCATCATTTACAGAACATGTTCTGGGAATGGATTTTATTTTTTTAATCTATATTCACTGGGTGTTGAAAATTCAGCTATACTTCATGTATGCACTTCACTAAGTAAGATGGTTGTCTATTGATTCTGTTATAAGCACCCTGCTTCGTTAATGCAGATTCTTGGAATTGCACTAAACTTTTCAGTGTAAATTGTTGTTGTCATTTTATTGATCAACACATCAGCTGCGTCATATACAATTATTTCATTCCTGCAGTGGGTAGGGAAAGTACAGAATCTGGTATGCAAGTCAGTGATGCCGATACTTGAGGTAACTAAGAGCTTTGGTTTCTTTTCCATGATTAAATATTTTTCTTTAGTGAAATATAAAAAACTTATTTTTTTACCTTGTTTAGAATCCCCTCACCCATAATCACAATATACAAAAGAAATGCTTATTGTTTGGCAGTTAAAGGAAACTTCAAAAAGTAGACTTTGTAGACATGTGCAAGAGCCTCTGTTTGCTACAGTAAAGTTCATGTTAATCAAGGAGACCAAGCTGTACGTCAGTTTTAAAAGAATCACACAATTTAATATTGTTAAAATATATTTTAACAGTTATAATACAGTAAAATAGTATAGTCTTCTGTGTTTTATGGCTGTTACTTTGTTTATTTCCAGGTGATTATTTTTTAGTTATATTTCTGTAAAGAAATAATACATTCAATAGTAATTAATATATTTACTTAGTTATCTGTTGCTTTAGCTATATTGGTGTTTAGAATATTTGTGATTTACAAGATTTTTTGTCCTTTGAGTTTCTAAAGGCTTCTGGTTGAGTGGAAATTGTCTGAATATGTTTATTATATATATGTCTCTTTCTGCAAATTGTGTGTGTGTTGTGTTATGTTATGTGAAAGCAAGTACATTATAAAAAGATGTATAATATTTTAAAACCATACCCACAAGTATCAGAGTAACAGCTGTGTTAGTCTGTCTTTGCAAAAAGAAAAGGAGTACTTGTGGCACCTTAGAGACTAACCAATTTATTTGAGCATGAGCTTTCGTGAGCTACAGCTCACTTCATCGGATGCATACCGTGGAAACTGCAGTAGACATTATATACACAGAGAGATCATGAAACAATACCCCCTCCCACCCCACTGTCCTGCTGGTAATAGCTTATCTAAAGTGATCATCAAGTTGGGCCATTTCCAACACAAATCCAGGTTTTCTCACCCTCCACCCCCCCACACACAAACTCACTCTCCTGCTGGTAATAGCCCATCCAAAGTGACCACTCTCTTCACAATGTGTATGATAATCAAGGTGGGTCATTTCCAGCACAAATCCAGGTTCTCTCACTCCCTCACCCCCCTCCAAAAAACCACACACACAAACTCACTCTCCTGCTGGTAATAGCTTGAAGCCTTCCTAATGTTCTTTTAATGTGGCTTTTTTGTGTGTACTTTAAATTATATTTCAGTCTAAACAAAAGTTCACAACAAAGGCTATCCATTCAGAACTTTACTTGCCATTGAAAAATCCCAAAGGTGTGCCAAAACATAAATTGTCCAAAGCAGCAGCATAATTCTCCACATATAAATTATCCACCACCCTACAAAAAGTCTTCTAATATAGGACCATTGTAGCACCTTTAAAAGAGGGGAAAGTGACATAAAATCTTAAGGCCAGATTCTGCCTGGCTCTTATGAGAAGTTTGCGGTGTGGAGGGAGCCCCTTTTTGCACCCTCTGCCAGCCCACTCAGAATTACAGCCTGTTCAGTGGCTGCTCCATATTTACTACCCGGAAGCACAATGTTCCCTGAAGGTGATAAAAAGGAGAATCCCCTACATACACACTGGCCAGCACAATAGGCTGGCCAAATGTATACAAGTAAATAACAACACACACAGGAGTTGGGCCGCAGCCACTCTGTACCCAGAAGGTATTCTTGCTCCTCATGGCAGAAAGCATCTTAGTTCTCCCTTTGGGGTGATGGAGCTCCTCCTCTCTTTAGGGCTATGCCTAAAGGGCACTGTGGACCCCTAAAGAGGGGGGGAAGAGAGAGATACCTAGGTCCAGCTTTACATGAAGTGAGGTCAGAGAGCAGGATGCAGTTTCATGCATGATTTGTGTCTGCAGATACCACAAGTGAGAACACAAACTCAGGGTCCAAGCACGTAAGCATTTAGACATTTGAATACTGAATCGCATAGTCAGAGGCCATGTTTGCACACACAGTTGCCCAGTTTATATGCAAAAGTGTAGTAATAGTACATGCAGAAGAAGGCACCCAAATGAATGCAGTTTTAACTCTGACCTATGGCCCTTTACAAGCTTATCTATGCTACCTTTACTGATTTATTTATTTATTTGTAATGTTCCACCATTCCCACTGCTGGCAGTGCTTGAGTGTTGATGCAATGGTGATAAATCTCTTAAAAAATGCTAGTATAGACATAGCTGAAGAGGGAATGACATAGACCCGGGGCGGGAGAGATATAGACACCTAAGGAAAATAATTGGTAGTCTCTATAAGATCTTCCTATTAAGATGGGAAGCACATTTCTGCCTTTTACAAAGCACACTGAAAAACATTTTAGATATCAGTTGACAGATAATGACCTGGTGACGTTCAAATACTACTACTAAATTACTAAAATTCTGAAATACAGTATTTTAAGAATGCTATATGCTGAACATACGGTAAGACTCTGCAGTCTAACCAGCATCAAGTGAGTTTGATTTTCCTGTAGAAATGTCTGTTCTCTATTTGCCTATCATAACCTTCCTTCTTGTTTATATTTTATTTAGAATGCATAATTTAGGAGTGTGTAAAGGT